TGATAGTTGCCCCTTGGAAATTTGATGTTCTTAAAACTAGCATATTTGCCCTCGAAGCTTCGCTTCTCGGCCTTATAGGGAGGTATAGAGCTTTATGGGGGTGTATGGGGCTGTATAGGGGTGTATAGTACTTCATAGGGGTGTTTAGTGCTGTATAGGGGTGTCTAGTGCTGTATAGGGGTGTATAGTGCTGTATAGGGGTGTATAGTGCTGTGTAGGGGTGTTTATTGCTGTATAGTGCTTTATAGTGGTGTATAGTGCTGTATAGGGGTTATAGTGCTGTATAGGGGTGTATAGTGCTGTATAGGGGTGTATAGTGCTGTATAGTGGGGTATAGTGCTGTATATGGGTGTATAGATCTGTATAGGGTTGTATAGTGCTGTATAGTGCTGTTTAGGGGTGTATAGTGCTGTATAGGGGTGTATAGTGTTGTATAGGGGTGTATAGTGCTGTATAGGGTTGTATAGTGCTATATAGGGGTGTATAGTACTGTATAGTAGTGTATTGTACTGTATGAGGATGTATAGCGCTGTTTTGGGGTGTATTTGTCCGATAATATACTTTGTGCTGATACATGAACTGACCCTCACTAGATGTTATTTAGATTTCTCCGAGCGAGGGCTCTGGGAACGACAGTGAGCCGCCGGTGAATCAAAATGGCGTATGGTTTGTGTGGCGCGGAATAGAGGAACGAGTCGAAGAAGGAGTCTTCACCAGGGAGTGAAAAAGTTGATCGTGATTAATGTTTGTCATCAGAAAAGTAACAGCAAAGAAAAGTGTTAGGAGGTATTAATGTACAGGTAAAACAGTTTTTCAGCTATGAAGCGCGCGTGCTCTCCAAACTCGATAACATCGTTGAATTACTCCAGTGTGACCATAGAATGTTTAGAAAGACCCGATGTACTTGACGACACAGAGAGTTACATTTCGGGACGGGTTCTCAGAGGTGGAAAGTTAGCTTGGCTTGTCCGTGGTGCTACTTTGGAAGTCATAAACACAGTCACTGGCTTACGGCATGCGTCTTATAGATTTGGTTGGAGCCCGCATCAGCAACGGTCAGTATGTATCTCGTCCGTCAGCGAACTTCATATTGAAGACAGCACAAAGCTTCTGGTTGGACTGAAAGATTTGTCTGGCGGTGGTGGAGGAATTGTGTGCATTTTTGATCCATTTGTGTCTCGAGTGATCAAGGCTATAGAGATTCCTTACCCTGTCACTGTAGTGGAATGTGTTACCAGCTCAGGTGGGGCTCAAGCATCGCCTCATGCATTCAGGTTTGTTTAAGCTGGCAGGTTACAGGCCACCCCCTGTGCATCTGTTGATGAATGAATGCCTAATCAGTTGTGAAAAAGTAAAGATCTTCATCATGGGGTTCATGATTCATTACAACCTGAGGTGTCCAATCAATGAAATCGATAATCAATGGTAATTGATATCAATCATTAGAAAACAGTCCGAAGAAAATACGCGTACTGATTTGTTAAAAATCGTGTTTCTATAACTTGATGGAAACACAGAACTAGCATGAGCTGTTCACATAAGGATGATGCGGGAATTTACACTTTGATAATCAAAGTTAACAAGCTTTTTTTCCTTTTTTTGTTGCGGTGTTTTCGAAAAGAAATAGAAAACATGTCCTCTGTGTTGCTATCGAGTTTAGTATAAATCTACTAGCTTTCTATCACGAATGCCATTCTGTGATTCTATTTGCGTTCTTTTCTGTGATAGATAGTAGCATAGCAGCATGCGCTGGGGACCACTTGTTTGTGTTTTCGAAGTGTCTGTGAAGAGGATTTAGATGAAAGTTTTGAGTGACTTGTAGATTTATACTAAAACAATTAGATTATTCGCTCTCGATTCCTATGCGTGATAGTTGACTCAGGCTGCACCCTTGTCAACTATCGTGATAGAAATCTCCAGCTCATAATCTAATTGTTTAATAGAAACACTTCTGAAAGTTTGGGAGAACTCAAAAAAGCTGTGGAAACACTTGCCTGTGGCTCGTGTTCCCACAGCATTTCTTTTTCTCCTAAACTTCCACTCGTGTTTCTATAACTTGATAGAAACATGGTACATGTTTTCTATTTCGTAAATACCAATTGATTAATAGAGTGGTTTTCAATTGAGTGTCCTAAAACCAAAACCAAACCAATTACTTACCAACTAGACTTCTCAGCCAATCTCAAACAAAAACCAACACCAAGATAATTGCCTGATTACTTTTATGACTTGATTGAAAACCACTCTATTGATAATCAATGACCAATCAATGAAGATGATTTACCTGAGTTTTGATGATCGATTGCTAATAACAACTGATGGCCCAACTGGTATCATTCTTTGGAGGTATATATGCTTTGAACTTTTACATGGGAATAAGACATCTTATTATATGGCTTTGGCTTGCAGCCGATACAATGCGTGCTCTGATTGGCTAAGAGCGAGATATGAGCAGTCATTATGCAGCTGTAATTCCCACGGGCCGATTACGGATTATGCAAATTAGGAAGAGCCCAGCTCTGAAAAGTCAAGTGCATTAAAGTGATGAAAGCCGATTAAAATCAGTAAGAGAATGGAAGCTAACAGTTTAGAGATATTTCCTTAATAAAATTCATATAGGAGACTTACCAGCCGGTAACCTTGGCGAGCACTAGTGAAAAACAATCAAAGTTTGCTGAGTCTTAAGTAAAGCTAAAATCGCTAAGTGAAAAACACCATCGGCAGGTCTGTCGTGCATCCTGAGCAGAAGACCACGAAGAAACTTATAAGTTATCATCTTAGTCACAACAATTACCGAAGTATTGAACTCCGTCAAAGTTCTCATCAAATAGATTCCCTTGCATTAACACAAGCAAGTGTAAATCAGCTTCCAGGATCATCAGATGTAAACTATCAGATGGTTTCTGTCGGTAGCAGTGTTTCTGATAACTGCAGACGTTCACAAGGCTTGAAAAATTCATCCATTAATCCCAGAATGAAGAAGGCAAAGATATGTTGTCGAAAGCGAATGCATAGATCGAGTTAAGCTTATTTTGAGCAATGCATTCTGAAGCATTAGTATTTTCTTTCACCAAAAGACCGTTGCTTTGGACAATTTTGAGGCACTTTCTGTCTTTTCTATATGCATTGACATTTCGCCACAAAAGTCGGAAAAACTTCCCCATCAACTTGTGGTACCACGATACTAAAATACCTTTTTGAGGCTGTGACAGTCACTTTTCCCATAAAGAAATGAGTGTTTTTAACGTAATACGTAATACAGTGGTGAAGTTCACTGACTGTGTAGTTTTGCCCTGGGTTTGAGACGATGAATAAATCAGTAAATGTGTGCATCACCAGATCAATTATTGATGACTTCCGGTCGAATGATTTTTTTCTTTATTCATGAGCCATATAATAAACAACTTAATAACCTCGACCGTTCGGTTGTTACGGGAAAATCTCAAACCTCAGCCTACTGTAATATGGCAAGGCCTCAGTTTGAGATTTTCCCGTAACAACCTCACTCTTGATTATTAAGTAGTTATACTTCTCTCTTTTTATTTGTCTTTTAAAAATTACTACAGTCGAACCTCCAGTTGCAACCACCTCTTGTAAGCAACCACCTCTCCTCAGTGACCAGGTTTCCAAAATACCAAAAGTTTCCATGTCAAATCACTATATTTGGAACCTCTTGTAAGCGACCACCTCTCGTAAGCGACTGCGACCACTTTTAGAGCTAAAAGTTTGAAATTTTCTTTTGTTTTTAACCTCCCATAAGCGACCACTTTAAGGATCAGACAGATAATAGAGCAGAAATTGGATAATGTTTTGTCATTATCGCATTTGGATAGTACAAGAGATGGAAATTTCTCAAGGGGAAATACTTCTTTTTCTTGAAATTGACTTGTTATATGAATAAAACATTTAAAACATGGGGTAAGTCTCTGCAGTTACCATATGCTAATGAGGCAAAATTTTCACCCAATATGGTCTAAGCTCTCGTAAGTGACCACGTCCTGTACATGTAAGTGATCACCAAGGCTTGACATTTTGGGTGGTCCCTTATGGGAGGGTTGACTGTATGTGGTAATTTTGTCAGTGGAGTAAACATTTTTGAAGAAAATTTTTGTGGGAACTTTTATTTGCGGATTGTGGAAAAAAACCCAAAACCCTCAAAATTATTGCTGCCCGCTAAGTCCATCAAGGATGCGCCAGCAGTCGGTTAGTACCTTGATTTTCCTAGTTGGCGCCTACCGCTTCATATAAGATGATAACAAAATTAAATACTTGTCAGCGGTGTCTCAAAGAAAAATGTAGAAATTACACATGGTGGACAAAGACTACAGACTAGTAGAAATTTAGTTTTGGCTAGTAGGTTTTTGATTTCCACTAGCCCCTTTGGCTAGTAAACAAAATGAAATTGGTCGAACTAGTTTCTGTCTTCCTCAAGGAAGAGGAATGCGAACACTTTTCTTGGAATTTCATTGCGGACATATCATGTTACCAGGCACGTGCTGTTCAGCATGTATGCAAATTTAAGTTTGTTTACTTTTCACTGTGTGGTATGTAAATGGGTAACTAAACATGTTATTATGTTGAAAGAAATATTTGATATAAAGACAGCATTCTCTGCCAGCACACATCATTGTTCTTTTTTGTTACAAAAATAGTAGAACAAAACATGAGCTTCCCAATAAAATCATGCACAAAATCACGCAGAACTGTAAAGGGATAACATTTCATTTAGCATAACAACACAAGGATGATTTGTCATCGTATGCACACTAACAAAACTTACCACTACAGAAATAATTAGGCAAGAAAGATTTATGCCTTCAACATTTAAATCAGCCATTTTTAGCAGTTGAATTTTGCCAATGACAGTTTGCAGTATTGTTCAGATAGTTGTTTTGGTTTTGAAACATTTCTACGCTGCCTGTCTGTGAAGAAGTCTCAAGAGTTTTTACAATGACGTCTTGGGGTCTCAATATTTTTCCAAGAAGTCTCAAACAAAAAAGAGTCCTGAAAGTCTGTTTGGGAAAATCACTGGATTTTTCTTTGTGATCTGTTGGCCTGGGAGATTCGATGGAAAACGCTAGGCCATTGAACAAAATTAAAACTGGCACAATTCGTTGAGATGATAAATTGGTCCACTGTTTTTAATGTTACCAGTCAAGCGTGACACAAGGTGTGCTGACTACGTGTCAAACAGTTTCAGATGCAAAATCTCTTTGTTTTGTTTTTCTCAAGATTCCATAATGGATATAAGAGGGTTTCTTACTCTTGGTAAAAAAGAAAAAGGCAAAGACTAGAGTTCTGAAAAGAAACAACCCACTGAAGAAGGAGTAAATTTAAAACCTCCAGCACCAAAGTGGAAAATTTTGGCAATCATACTTTCAAGTCTTGTAGCTAATAATTCTGGTACTATTGGAACTAGCCAATGTCTAGGCAGTAGACTGGTTGTTACTAGCCAGTAGGCAAGTAAGTTGAAAAGTTAGTGTCAAGCCCTGGATTATTGAGCAGAAATTGGATAATAAGGTGTTGTAACATTATTGCTTTTCTGGGTAGAACAAGAGATGGAAATTTCTCAATGGCTAATACCGCATTTTTTTCACTTGAATACTGGTAAAACATTTAAAACATTGGGTAAGTCTCTGCAGTTACTATATGCTAATGAGGCAAAATTTCGACCCAAATATATGGTTTTATATAATTACTTCTCATAAGGGATCACCCCCCATAAGCTGAAGTGCTGGTAGCCCAGGATTTCATGGTTAGGAACCTTTGGGCTCCTCAAAATTTTTCTTAAACCACAGCCTTCGATTTCTGTCAATTGGACACCTGGGATTACAAAACTATGAATGGAGCTATAAGGATTTCACAGTATTTGCTGTCATTTTCTGATGTATAAGATTACTTTGATAGTATTTTTCTAAGGTAGAAAAACACCACACAAATGATAAAAAGATGAAAATGAACAGGAATAGTTACCACTAACAAGATTAAGATAGATTACAACAAACAAACTTGAAAAATAGGCTAATTTTCTCAAGCTGTGCTGTCTGTGATACAAGAGCAAGAGTTGATATGTTCCCAGGAAAGTTATAGTATGACAAGTGAAGTGTATGAATATGCCATGAATATAATGTATACTGAGCCCCTGCTATAAAGTGGACACCCTTAGAACAGCAATTATGAGAAGTTTTAGCTGGTGTTGCTAATATAGTATACTGTACACTTAAACCTGTATTAAGTGGACACCCTTGGGACCCTCACTAGTGTCTGCTTAATACAGGGTGTCTGCTCAAAACAGGTTCTAATATGTTGTGCAATAATAGTTAACTATTAACCCTTTTGTAACACTGTTTAAGATCAAAGACTAGCTAAGACTGCTCATAGTACAATGTCCAGTCAATCAATGAATCAATCTGGAATAATCAATTAGCTTTAAAACGACATCGCTGAGCAATGTTAAAGGAGTCTCAGCTGAATCTTTAGAAGTAAAAGGCCCTTGAAGTGTCCACTTATGCAGGTTTTGTGCACCAAAATAGCTTAACATTGGTGTCCGCATCCGCTTAACAGAGGTGTCTGCTGAATGTAGGTTTATTTTACAGTAAATGTGGGAAGAAAATTTAGGGACTCAAGTTGGTGTCTAGCATCCGCTTAATACACGTTTGACTATTTACGTAATAGGGTAACACAGACTCCTCAGTAGCCCACGTTACAGCCACCCTCCCCAAAAGGAGAAATTGGAGAGAACGTCTTTGTGTTGCCATCAATAATCATGTTCCTTGCATAAATTTTCTGTACTTTAAAACTGTTTCAGTGTCACCACAGCTAACATGATGTGTGGAGACAATAGAGGAACATGCTCTCTGCATGTGGCCTCTACATGACAGCTGATGACCTTTGAAAGTTGGAAACAGACCAGTTGTAGAATAATTTTGTCCCCATAAAGTGCTGATTACCTCTGGTAATCTGGCTTTTAAATTTCAAAATTCTTAATTTAAATCTCAGTGACAAATTGTATCAAATTTCCATTGTGGTCTCTTCAGCCAACTCAAGAGATATTTAGTACTGCACAGTTTACCAGCCTGGTCATGTAAATGCACTCAAGTTATAATCCTCTTTTGGGTTGTGTTGTTATAATGAAGGCTTTTTAATTAGTTTTGAAAATTCAAAGCTTGAAAAGTTAACTTACCTGCGATAAACTTTCTCAAGAAATAATTGGCCTCTTGTAAAATAATTTGCTGCTAATTTAGTCCAAATGGCCAATTCTCTCTTTGTGATGTGCCTGCAGGGAATCATCAGGAGTCAAAATGTGGCCTGTCTACCTGTCGAGTTCAGGTAATTTTAGGAAGTGACAGGTTTGAAAATATTTATGCCTGTCGCTGGTGACAGGAAAGAAAATCCTTAGTAATTCAGAATTTATCAATTTGAACAATATTTTCATCCGTTTTCCACCCACAGTCGTGCCCACTAGTGCAGAACTTCTCACATGGTACCGGTAGTTACCAGACTCTACTCAACAAAAGCAAAATGATCCAATCTGTGCAGTGTGCATGATAAAGACAGAAAATGTGACTTGCATTTTTCTTCCGTGTTTCTGCGCCCATCCAGTGTGAATGAGTTTAGTATTTCAGTTCATGATATGGATCGTTTTCTAACGTGTAATCAGTGCGCTAAAGAAGTGGAAGTTGAAGGACACGTAGAATAGAATTTTGAAACACCGATGATGAAACATAATACTGTATGAGTATTCAAGTTCAGTGAGAAATGGAAAGATGGGTGCCTGTGTTTGTCATCAGAAGATGGAAAAATGTTCTGTTCTTACTCACAGAGGAGTCACTTAATGACCTCATGCATGTTGCCCTTAGCAGGGTCACTGTAAAGAACTTTAACCCTGAGCCTGCCATTGAAATATGGTGGAATGATTCTAAAAACCCAGGAGACTATTGGGTGCCTATGGGCCAAACCAAAGGCCTAAACAGGCTGAGAGAATAAATTGACAACAAAATGTCATTGCTTTCTATCAATTTATTACTAACGATTGTACAACCTCAGTTGAGTTTTAAAAGGTGAAAATAAATATTAAAATAACAGTGTTCAAGTTGGATGTTTTGCCTGTCACTAGACACAGGTAAACAGTCTGGGGACATTTTGACCCTTGAGTCATGGTAGTTGTAGTCATAAAAATAAATAAATTGGCCATTGGCAGCTCCAGTAGTTCTTGAGAAATGCAAATTATGTGGATCAAGTCTCTATTTGTAATTAAAAAAGAGATACAGTGGTAAACTTATCTTTCACTGATAACCAATTTGTTTTCATGTACATGTAGTGTAAGAAAGGCACAGTAATGTATAAGTTGATGTAATTGTAATAAACAATACGGTGGATTTTATGCCTGGTAAATATGTGAGAAGATTATTTTTCACACAGACATACTTGGAATAATAATTCCAAATTCTCCATCTTGAACCTTGTTTACTGGCCTAGTTTAATGACAGAAAAATGATCTTCTCATGTGTTGATAATGTAAATTGTTAATAGTATTATTGTACATTGTTGTTCCAGTCCTCAGTTAAAACTGTTGTTTGGTATTGTGGCTATTGGTACAGAGCAGGGACACTGTTACTTGGTTGATCTTCGTCTTGATGATGAAGGTGAAGAGTTTGATGAGTGGCACACAAGCTCCATTGAAGTGGTGAATCCTTTATCACATGAGATGGCACAACTTAGAAATACTGCGAGGACGAATGGAACCCATTTAGGGATAGAGATAGGAAGTATGTTAAAATACTTTACATTATTATTCATTCAAAATATTTCTTCATTTTTTGATTGACCTTGATCCCTGGTTAATAATTCATCATTCATAACGAACCAATGCAGACCAAACTTGTAAATTTGTGTTGTTTGCCCAATGATAAAAAACAAAAACAAAAGAAATAATGTTACACAATAGTAAGTGGCAGTCAGGTTCATGTTTGAAAGGTACATTGAATATGAAAACTTCAGCTGAATACAACCTCTTGAAACATCAGTATATGAAATGCAAAACAGTCAACATTAACAAGTCTGAGCATTTAGTATATTTTGTCCCAACAGAGAACAATAGAAGTCATTAGAATTTGCCTTTGGCCTACTGTACATTGCAGGGAATTCAACTCTCTGTTACTGTTTTGTTTTCAGGTTTTTGCCATGTTTTTGGAAGGTTTTCATATGTGAAATCTGATTTTACTGAGTTGAAGAGTTTTTCCTCAGGTAAGTTTAAAGAATTAAACTTTGCTGATGTCACCAGTTTTGCAGCTTGTTAATTAAATAAATGTTATCTGGAATGAGATTTATTGTTTTGCACAGGTGATGTGTTTGTGACGGCTATCAAGTATGTGAGGCAAACAAGCTCTTTGCTCGTAGGATTCAACTTCGGTTGCTTTCAGATGTGGAACATGGAGACTCTCACTCTTATGTAAGCCTTTTTATCTACTGAACACAGACAGTCATACTGTAAAATTAACAACAAACTAGGCATTATTTAAAGGGACTGGGTCAAATCACAAGTTGTTGTTTGGGTTAAATTGTTTGGGAAATTATGATGTTAATGCCTGGTTGGACACAGGACTGACACAGCAGTGAATGCTTCTAATCTTTTTGCTGCTAAGGTACGAGGCAGTCATTCATATCATGCCTTATGGAGATATTGAAATGTCTGGATGTCTGTACCTCCACACTGACAGAATGGAGGGCAGTGTTGTTGTGTTTCACATACATGTATGGTTCATATGTCATGATAGAAATTCAATAATTTAAGAATTTAGTATTTTAAGAAATTTGCTTCAGGGTAGCCTGTTAACTATGTTAATTTGTTTTCAGTTTAATATGCTACTGCCACAAAAATCAAGCTTTACAGAGTTTAGACTTCTTCATGCAAAAATAAAATGCAAAGAGATTGGTGTTGACAGTGGGAGGAGCTTAGTCCCTTTTATAGTGTACCTTCACGTTTACTGATGTCATGGAAAGAGATAATATTTTTTCAACTACTTGACTTCTAATTAATGCTGTGTAATTTTTATCAACTGACATTGTGAACTCTTCTGTTTATTAGCTACAGCAGTCAGATTGGCCAGTATTATTCAGCAGTCACACACTTCATGTATCAGGTGACTGTCTGGATTCTTTACATCAGTAGTGATTCCAGTGTAAAGCTGTTAGAATTAGTTTGTGATGTAACATTGAAATTGTAGTATTAGACTTAAATTGGGAGGTTAAAATTCTTTTCAAATAGAGTACTTACTTTAAGGTGGCTCAAAACTGTAATATTTTTACCACGAGAAGTCTGGGCTCTAATGCACACCTCAGCACAAGGCATCATGTGATCACTCGAGGGGTCCCAAGATAGCATGTAAGATTTAGAGTTTGCAAAACTCACAACAAACATGGTGGTGTGAGGCCTGCTTCGTAAAACTTTGTTTTCTGCCAAGTTTAGTGAGCTGTTTGGGATATTACTTACTTTAAACTTTGAAAACATCCATCCCTCAGGCAATTTCAGAGGAAAAAACATTCTTTTAAACCGCTGTGCTGGAACGTAAATGAAAATTTGATGTATCAATCTAAAAAACAGCAGGAAAAAAACTACTCTTCAGGTTTTTTTTGTTCTTTTTACTGGGTCAGTCTCACCTTTGGGTATTTATGGTACTCTTCTTGAGCTGCTTATGCTGCTAAAGACAACAGTGAAAAGGAAAACACTATTCACAGGTATTCGCATTAATTCACATGGAATTGTGGGCTTAACTGATCAGCGGACCACCTTCACGGATGCGCAAGGGGCGATTTTGCAGAGTAGGGATTTTAATTTGCTCGTAGATGAAGCTTATATCTCAAAAACTGATCAGGTGACCCTATTTTTCCAGGTACCAAAGACAGGACCAAAGACAGTGAAACTGTTCACAAACCATCCAAAAAAGTAGTCAACGGCAAAAGCGGAATGCATGTGCGAAATTGTGTAAAAATTTGTGGAGTGGAATTCCTCCAACTTAGAAATTTCCATTTTTTTAAAATTTAAGCAAAATATACTCCACAGAATTTTTTATAATTTTCCCTGTTTCTTCTTCCGTGGCTCACAAAAAGATTGTTAGAAAAAAAACATGGGGTCACTGCCTTAGCTTTTTAAATAGATGTAGCTGATGGTAAAAAGTGGGTCAAGCTTGTTGCTGAACAGTACAACCTTTATTTATGACTTAGACACAATGAACAGTACAATCGAGAGTTACCTTAAAACTAGATGCTCTAACAGCGTTTGCTCTGGCTTCAAACCACAGTATCAAATCGTACTTTACGAAAACGTGTGTTGGACACAATAAAAGCAAATTAAATAATCAGGATATTTTAGCACAAGAGTTCTGCTTGGATATTTACTATTCAAGTTGCTTCGTTGAGTATCCTCCTCATCCTATCGCAAGTTGTGAGTTTAAACCATTTTCCAAGAATTTGCGACCCTTAACACAGTTTATGACGAAATATTCAAGCTACATATTTTTATTGAATCAAGGCAGGAGTATTTTTAAAAAGGACTCTCATTTATAAGGGAAGATGCGGCATTCTGTTTTGCTATT